AGCACGGTCTGCTAGAATAATCCCATTCACAGAAGCAATCTTACAGATTATTGGAGCAGTTTTATCTGTAACAGTAAATAGCTGGAGGGTCTAAATCAGAGGTCAGACTTTTTTTAAATAAGCAACCAGACGGTAAATATTTTTGGCTTTGAGGGGCATCTGGCCTCTGTAGCCACCACTTAGGGTGGGAGCAGCCGCAGAATGATGTAGACTAATGGGCGTGCTTGTGTCCCAGCAGCATACCTTCATTTACAGACTCTGAAATCTGAATTGCACCAAGTTTCATGGCCACACAGTAGTCTTCTTTGGATTTTTCTTCAGTCTTCTAAAAATAGAAGACCATTCTTAGCTCGAAGGCAGCATGAACACGTGCAGCCAGTCATGGTTTGCCAATCCCTGGTTTAAACTTAGGCTGTGACGGTACCTCTACTCGATGAGACATTGGGTAGCCTATTAAACTGGTTACCGGGAGGACTATGTTTAAAATGTGGCACTGAATGAAGGAAGCAGAAAAGCAGAGAGTATGAGCCATGACTGGAGTTCAAGCCACCTAAAAGTAAGCGCCGAATGGGAAAATGACAGAAAAGGAGTTGGGCAGTGACGACTGCTCCTGTGCTAGGTCCAGGCTGTGGGTAATTTGTTTTCTGTGTGAAGATTTTACTTAACATCGACGCGGTTCTGCCTTTTCCAAAGGAAATACATATTTTAAATCAGGTTGAAAAGAAAGGAAAACAATCTGGAGTGTACTTGGCCAGCAGCAGGCTTCTCTCCCACTCTGCTCTTGCCCTACTTCGTTCTTCTCTCACACCTGTATCACGGCCAGGCGTGCTCCTGATTTACCTGTTTGTGGAGTATCTGCACCTACACATTAGAGGCCCCAGGAGAGAGGGATTTCGTTCTGTTCACTGTTGTCTCAGGTCCTAGAACAGCATGTGGCACACAGTAGGTACTCAATAAATATTTGCTGAGTGAATGAGAGATTGCCTCCATCCTCGAGGTCCATGGCTGGGTGACAGCTGCTGCCAGGGAGCGTCATGTTCCCTGGATGTCCTCCTGGAGAAGGGCAGCTGATGTATCCCCTACTGCCTCCAGGTTACTGGCTGCCTCCTCAGAGCACTCCCCGAATCTCACCTGACCTCGGGCACCCCACCAACCACCCTGCATTAAGAAAGTTCATGCGACTATACCTCACGAGACAGAGTCACTCTGGGAGGACCCATGTCTGCCTTGACTTCACAACCTACAGTAGTGAGTACTGGCACATTGTAGGCACTTGGTAAATGTCTACTGAATACCTAAATCTTTATTTACTCTGGGTGTTGCTTATGTTCATGTACAACTTTCAGGACATTCCCCCGACAATCAACCTTGTCCTTGAGGGAAGTATGCCCGTTAAAAACCTATCTCAAGGGACCAGCAGATGGTGTAGCAGGTGCTGGATTCCCACATGGCTGACTGCGGTTTGAGTTCTGGACCCGGAGGCTTAAAAATCATGCCAGGCATGTGTGCGTAAGTGCCCAAGATCCCAGAAGGAGAATGAAGGAGAAGAGAATGCTACGGGATCATTCCCCCTAGGGGGAGATTTCTCGCTTTCTCTCTCACTGTCTCTGTCTCCTCTTCCCAGTGAGTATATGTGCCCTAAGGCAAACTATCTCTTAAAAAAAAATCTATCTCAAAATGCAGACTCTGCTCAAAATGCAGACATTCCATCCAAGTAAGTTTCGCTGTGCCAAGAGCCTGAAGCCAGCATGCCCTCTGTACACTTTAAGACCCTCAGGCCGTGGCCTGGCTGAGACAAAGTGAGTGTCCTACCTGTTTCTTCTTTAAGGTCCTGAAAAAATTTCTGGTTGAAGATGAAAGCCACACCACTGATCTCTTCCACCTTGGCCTCTGCAGTGCTGTTCCTGTTTATGAAGTTGGCAGTGATCGCAATAGCCAGCTTCCCACGGAATTCTTTTCTCCTGAAGCCTGCGTGAGGAGAAAGGAAAAAGGGTCTTTCTTCAGGATTTGGTGTGAAAACTGAAAAAGATGACTGAGAGAGCTCTTCTCGGATGCCCCACAGGCCACTAAAACCAGGATTCTAGATCTCTAGAGAGTCAGACACGCTGAGGTCTGCCCTGCAGGAGGAAGCCTGTCACCAGAGGCCTGTGGGGGTCAGAGGGACTTCATCCTTTTCTAAATCTGTAGGCTTCGGCAAACAAAAGGCTAAAACAGTCATCTCCAACAGGCAACCACAGAACTCCTCTTTCTAAACATGTGCTTGGCATGTGCTAGACAGATGCCTGGAGGCCCACATGACGTGGAACTTATGTGATGGAAAATGCTTTATTAGCATTGTCATCTTTTTTTTTCCCCTGAAAAGTAGGATTATTAGATTGAATCCTTGCAGAAGAGCATTTTAACAAATTTTCTTTTTATTCCAATTACTATGGGTTGCATTGTGTTCTTCTCACCCCCAATCTCCAAAATTAATATCTTCAAGTCCTAACCCTCAGTACCTCAGGGTGTGACCTTTGGAAATGGGGTCACAGTAGCTGTAATTAGTTAAGATGAGGTCAGACTGGAATAGGGTGGACCCCTCCACTATGACTGTTGCCCTTATGAAAAGAGGAAATGCCGACACAGATACACACGGGAAGAACCTATGATGAAGGGAGAGAGTGGGGAGATGCTTTTATATGGCAAAGAATGCCAGCAAACTCCCAGAAACTAGGAGAAAGGAATGGAACCAACGCTTCCTCATCATTCCCAAAGGAACCAGCCACGCCAACACCTTTTTTTGGGGGGAGAGGTTTTCGCTATAGGGCGCGTGCACTCACCAGACAGACAGAGAGAGACAGAGAGACAGAAAGTGAGAAATCACCCCCCAGGGGTGATGGTCACGCCGCAATCCCTTCTCCTCCATTCTCCTCTCGGGATCTTGGGCACGCACGCACACGCGCCCGGCGTGAGTTTTAAGCCACTGGGTCCGGGACGCAAACCGCGGTTGACTGTGGGAATCCAGCGACATAGTCATTGCGCTAACTGCTGGTCCCAAGCCCTGCCAACGCCTTGATCTTGGACTTCCAGCCTCCAGGAGGGTAGCCCACATTATCTCGGGAAGGGCAGGACAGTCTACTCTGTTCTCCATTCCTGACCAGCCATGGCACCTGGCATCTTGCCCACCGTTCTGCCCCATCCACGCACTCCCACTCCTGTACTCCTACCCACATCCCCAGCCCCAAAGAAGAGTCTTCACCTTCCAGGGTGTTCCTGCGGCCATCGGCACCAATGATGACGTCAAACTCAAACTCCGACAGAGAGTGGTCTGCAGGGAGGAATTCTGCCCGCCAGCCAATTTCTAGCAGGGCAGAAAAGTGGTATGAGTTGGCTGGGAGATGAGGGAAGAGAGTGATTAAATCCCCTCTACACTGGCCCTGTGAAATGGACCATGCAAGCAGGTACATTCGTAGAGGTGAGGCCTAGAACAGTCCAGGTTTACACGTTAATCAGCTCCATCCAGGACCAAGAGAACCAGCATATCAATTCCAAACCTGGTCTTGCTAGCTCTTGCTGGGAGTTTATCCTTAGTGAGTCTCAAAGTAGCCTCACTTGAACTTTACTCTTTTCAGCAGGTTCTACCATGTTTTCTTCACATTCCTTCACATTTCCTGGTGCCTTCCCACTGTTAAACAGACCCAAAAGGGTGTTCAGGGTGTCATGTCTCAATTTCTACTTCACACTCATAATGTGTCTTGTGCAGTGCACTGCCTTTTAGAAAACATTTTCAGCTGATGCCTGGCTGGTTACTCGCCATTAGGATCTAATGCCCACTAAAGGTCTGGAAAAACTTTTGAGCACAAAAGTCTCAGAATATGAAATGACATATGCTGTTCTTCTACCAAGGTCAGCTGAAACCTCCCTCAAATCTCAGATAATCTGGGAAGAGGATAGGAGAAATCAGAAGTGTCCCGTAGGCAGGAAACTATGAGGTCTCTGACACTCAGCTAGCTCCAAACTCAAAGCTCTTCCCAGGCAAGAGATTCTGACAATAAGAAAGGATATAGGAACAGAGGTGTGTGTGAAAGACCAGAATTTAAATAAGCATACTGAAAGGAAGAAGGGAATCCTTATTAAGTCAGACAGGCTGATAGAAGTGGATTTTACAGCTTATAAGTGGTACCTCAATAAGATGAAACATATTATATATCAGATCATAGTTGTTCTAGAATCTCACTTTCATTACTTGACTTTAAAGTATTTATGGGTGCAACAGGTACATCCACATATTTATGTGTGAACACACACACACAACTTGACCTGCATGTAAATGAATTTTAACAAACAACAAAACCCTATGTTTTCTCTCTAACTTACTGATTAGATTTCATTTGCCCAAGTATCATCTCCTAGGGTCAGGATAATACATTTATAGGTTTAAAGCTTAATAATAAATCCTCCCAGAGCTAAAGAGCAGACCTAAAGTGATAGCTTGATCAGAAAAGGTAAAATCTCCTTCAATGGAATCATGTCCGACAGCTCCCGATAATAACTCTAACAACATTCCTAGCTGCTGATGTGATTTCCATCTTGTCCCGTATCTGATTTCTAGACAGAAAAATAAGATTGTGCTGTACTTTGATTTTCTTGATCTTCAGGCGGCTCTAGAACCTTCACAAACTCCACATTCACGTGGATTTCCACTCCTAACATCAGGGCCACCTTGAACAGGATCAGCTGCAGCTGGCGAATACCTGTTGGGAAGGAGGGAGAAGAGAGGAACATCAGAAGCAATGCTTGTGTGCTTCATAGGCCGAAGGCCGTGCAACCGCTGCTCGGTGATCTCTGAACATAGTCATGTGCCAACGGTGAGCACTGCTGAGCACAGATTCTGTGCCATGTGCACTGCATCTTCTCCTTTAACCTATGGAGGCCGTTGAGGATCATTACTATTCTCATTTTATGGATGGAAACTTGAGGTTTCACAAGATTAAGTGACTCGCTCAAGGTTGCACAGTTATGGACTGAGGTCTGTGTGACTCCAAGACTCTACTCTAGCCCTCAGATAATGCTACACTGAGAGTGCTCTGTCTGTCCTGCCTCCTTCCTGAGCTGGCTCTGGGTTTGATAAGATAAAGGTGGAACAAAGAGGAGTTGACAGAGAGAGTGAGAGGCCATAGTCAAGTCGGCGACAGATGGCTCACTGGCTGGCGTCTGTGCCTAGGCTCTTAGCATCCAGTGGTAAGGGGCAGGATGGGAAGTTCTCCCGTCAAGCTGGGCTCATGGTTCTCCACCTCCTATCTACTCTTCAAAATCCCCCTATGAGTAGAACCTCATTTGTCCCCTGCCATTCAGCACAAATGGGTATGCCTCCAGATACTTTTCTGCAGGGTGAGAAGTTTTAAACTTCCTGTGTCCCCCCTCATTTCACATTTATTGAGCATCTGCAATATGCCAGGTACCACGCTAGACATAGGAGATACGCAACACAGTCTGAAATGGAGCCAACACAGGTACATGGAATAGGGCAGGGGGTGGTGGTTAGGATGGGGTAGGTGGGGTGGCAGAAAAAATAGGACCTGAGTAGGGGTCCTGGAAGCCAAGAGAGGAAGAACCAAGAATATCACATTTCACACAGAGATTAAGGACTGAATATTTCAAAGCGTCATAGAACCTTGGGTCAGCCCCATAGCACAGTGGTTAGTTAGGCATTATGCATTGAGAGCCAGATCCCACATGGTCAACCAAGGCTCAAATCCTAGTCCTAGTAAGCTTGAAAATATGCATGGCATGTGTGTGCGTATGCCTCAAATTCTGATAGGATGGAGAAATGGAAGATGAGAGATGGTGGCATGACCATGCCTCATTGCGGGGAGAACATGGTAAAATCTGCTGAGAAAGGTAAAGCTCAAGTGAGACTAGTTGGACAATCACTGAGGATAAACTCCCAAAATGCATGCAAGTGCATGAATATTCTGGCAATAAAAAGAAAAGAATTAAAAAGCCAGAGACTTTGGAGTTAGAAAGCTCTTGGAGAACTGAGTGAACACCATTTCTTTTTGGAGGGCTGGGGGGACCAGTGTGAGATGAGTAGCAGGAGGACTAAGGGATGGAGGTAGATGCAAAGGAGAGAAGGAAGCGAAGAGGGACTGGAGTTGGAGAGGAGGTGGCGGGCTCTGCCTGGACTCAGGGTGCTTGGATGGAGGAGGAGGGGAAGGGGGTCTGGGACGGGCAGTGCTGCCACTGGATTCTCTTCCCAGGAGCATAGGAGGAGCCATTTACTAGAACAAACAGGCTGAGGTGGGGGTTGCAATAGCCAGCCACGGTGGGAGATGGAGGAGGGTGTGAGCACAGGGCACAGGGCACAGGGCACAGGGCACAGGGCATAGGGTGAGGCGGAGAGCGCAGCTGAGGCCGGGCGTGCAGTTGGTCTGAGAGGAAGGCATTCAGCTGGGGTAAAGACTCCCGACCACCTCCTGCCCGAAACAGCCCTCGGGGTCCTGGTCTGCCTGGTTCTAGCACACACCAGGTGCTCACCCTTTCAGTTCTCCCTCTTCCCTTCTCATGGGCACCGGAGCTAAGCTTCATGATATTCTGAATGTTCCCACCTCAGTTCCAGAGACTTGCCTCAGTTCCAGCACTTGTGCATGTGTGCATGCTGAGCGCAGCTGGGGGGTTAAATGACAGCTCACTGGTAAGGGCACCAAGGGGCCTCCTGGTGCTCAGCTCTGCCTCTCAGGAGGGCTTGAGGAGAAAGCGGCGCTCAGTGTTGTGGTTCTAAATTGGTAACTGGTGTACATTATTCCGTGGGTGGTGGAGAACATCCTGAAAGCTGATGCTGCAGCTTTCTGCACAAATCCACATTTTTGTTTTCCCCCACTGGACTCCTGGAATTTTCTAATCCCAAAGTGGGAATAAGGTCTGAGGCCATTGCTGGTAAATTCTCCTGTATCTGAATAAATTACACCTTGTGTGGCTGATAATGCTTCCTGGTCATGCCTGCCCAAACCCACTCCTTTCCCCTCAGTTCTTGTCCTCATAAGAATGTGGCTCTCAGGGCTCTCCTCCCACCCCTCTCCACAGAAAACACTGTTGAGAGATGCAGCTCTGGACACTGAAGCTGCCTGCTGCTCACTGCACACGGATGGATGCAAAGCAGTTTCCTGAGCACCTAGGACATGCCGGGAGCAACACTAAGCACGTTACAGACTTGACCCCATTTAACCTCGGCAGTTCTGAGATGAGCATTATTCACATGTTACAGGAGACAGAATAGAGGCTTGAAGGAATTTGACCCAAGTAAAGATTTTGACCCAAGTCAGACGGAAATGGTAGAGACTGAGTTTGGACCCAAATTTGTTCAAACCCTTGACCTCTCTCCACAGTGTTAACCTCTCTGACTTGCATGGGTCACTATTGCTAAATATAAACATGGCTAAAGCCCTCGCCTTGCAAAGCTAAGGGAGCAACTCTGCCTTTCCCCAAGTCTGCCTGCACAGATCGTGCCCCAAGAGACTGAGGCTTGAGGAATGCTGAGCAGAAGGGCCTTGCCCTGTGTCAGCACTCAGCCCAACAGGACCTGAAATCCATGTTCTTGATTTCCCTTTTTTAGTCTGCTCGAGTCCCTTTATGATGCTCCCCTGGGCTTAAAGTTCATTTATTTCTCTCTTTAAGGAGACAGAGAGACTTCCCATCGGAGTCTTCACTCTGCAATCTACCCTCGGTCTCAGTCAGCGGGAGTCACGGGCTTCAGGAAGGCCTCTGGACAGGAGCTCAGAACCTTCCCATGGCTCAGCCTCGCAGAGTCTTACACTACCACTGTACTACACTGGCCTTCTCCCCTTCTCTCTCTCTCTCTCTCAAGTGCATGGAAATGGGCATGGGGTCTGCCAGGGAGCACAAGTCCATTGTGTCACTCCTCTGTCCTGAACGTGTCATGGCTCCTCAGCACTGGCATGTGTCACTCCTCTGTCCTGAACGTGTCATGGCTCCTCAGCACTGGCATGTGTCACTCCTCTGTCCTGAACGTGTCATGGCTCCTCAGCACTGGCATGTGTCACTCCTCTGTCCTGAACGTGTCATGGTCCCTCAGCACTGGCATGTGTCACTCCTCTGTCCTGAACATGTCATGGTCCCTCAGCACTGGCAGCACAGTATCCAGACTCTTTTGCACAAAAGGGTCTCACCTATCCAGTCCATTTGTGTGGCTCCCTCCTCTGAACTCCTCTAGGAAGAATGATGAACTATTAAAGCACATTTTACTACTGACAGTCTCTGTGAGCTTCCCGAGAGTCCAGACTATGCTACTCAGCTCTGCCTCTGTTTGCCGTGTTTCCTATCTGCTCAACGTAAGTTAACAGACACTTACTGAGCATCTGCAATGTGTCAAGAGCTCTTATCCCTGGAGCTATTCTGGTGAGCAGGACACGCCACAGCCCTGACCTACGGGGCAAGCACAGGGTCTGACCCAAGGCACGAGCAGGTCCTTTACTACGTCAGTAAGTTGGGTATCTGGAGCCCCCAGGGACTTGCAAGATACAGCAATGCAGGACTCCTAAATGTGGGAGTTGTGCCCCACCCAGGACAGTCCTTCTCTTCACTCTTGACTCCACTCACTGATGTGGTCGATGGAGCCGGCACAGAACTTCCCGTAGAACTTCTTGGCTCCTAAGCCCCGCAGGTCATGGATGGTGAAAGGCCAGAGGTGTAGCACATTGTTCCGGGAGAAGGTGTCTCTCTTTTCCACTACGACCACTTTGGCTCCCAGGTAGGCAAGTTCGATGGCAGTGCGCAAGCCACATGGTCCTCCCCCGATGATGAGACACTGTGGAGGTAAGAGAGGAGGGAGACATTCCATCACTTCTACATTGCAGACATAAACCAGTCAGCAGTATGACTGAGGAGCAAACCCCAGTGTATCCAAATCAGCCAGCAGGTGCAAACTGGGCACCTGCTAGGGCCTGTCATTCATGGGTCCAACATATGTTACCTGTAGGGTCACCACGCCCCAGCCACCACGCTAAGCCCTGGAAAGGACATGGAGCTGGAAGGACTTGGGGAGAAGGTGCAGGAACATGCACAGGAGGTTCAGAGTGGACTGAATTGCATTTAAAGCCCAGCTCAGGGACTGAGCTCTGAGTTCCCTGACCTGTGAAGTAAGTCTACTACTCTTTCCTCATAGGGTCATTGTAAACGCAATCACTTTTACGAGCATATAGTACCCTTTTGAGATTTTATGTTAGGCAAGTTTCCTAGGTATAACAGTAATGGCATAGCCAACAAAAAGAAAAAAAATCAATGAATTGGATTTAATCAAAATCAAACCCTGACTGGCCTAGCTACTGGGCGCAGAGATAATGCAAGTGCCTGGAAGGCTGGGAGCCGATGGCCAATGGCTAGGATGCCCAGGTTGGTGTGAGAACACGCCAGGCATGTGCATATGTCATCTAAGATCTCAGATGGTCCTGAGGAGCGGGAGGCTGGAGGAAAGGGATCATGGGTGCATGCGAGTGCATGCGGTAGCAAACAAACAAAAACAAAGTTGGTGCTTCAAAGGCCACTATCAATAAAGTGAGAAGACAACCAAATGGTTGAGAGGAAATATTTGCAAATCATAAATCTGATAAGAAACATTTTATCTAAAATACATAATTAACTTTTGTAATATAACAATAAAAATACAAATATCCCAGTTAAGAATGGGCCAAGGATTTGAATAGGCATATCTTCATAGAAGCTATGCAAATGGTTAGTTAAGTACATAAAAAGATGCTCAATACCATTAGCCAAAATCTCAAAAGAACAGAGGAACAAAAAAGGGATTATGGCATGACCACACCCCACTGAGGGGGTGCTTTTTCCCTCTTTTTCTCTTTCTCTCTCTCTCCCTGGTGAACACATGCGCCCTCTGGCAATTAAAATAAATAAATAAATAAATAAATAAATAGGGACAGAGCCAGGAATCAAATTGAGGTGGTCTCATTCCAGAGCCCACCAAGCTATACTGCATCTGGTTGGCTGGGAACAAAAAGAAAAAAGATGTTAGCAGATGAGATAGCCATTCATTGAAAGAAAGAAAGTTCAAGGTGGATGAAGAAGAGGATACTTTGGGAGAAGGGAAGGGAAGGAGAGAGAGGAGGTCAGAGTCAGTCTGATGTCAAATATTGAAGGTCTTAAACACGAATGAAGACTGTGGCCTTGATCCTGTTGGCACCAAGAGCATACGAACAGGGGTGACTGAACAGGAGTCCATACAAGTCTCGAGCTAAGTCCTTAAGGGACATAAGGTAAACAAGACCAAGGTCCTTCCCTAGGGAAGACATAGCCTGTTAGGACAAAAGGGAAAACACACAATGACCCAGATAGTTGTAGTGGGCAAAAGCCCCTCCATCCAAACAAAACCTTACAAGGAGCACCAATCCTTATATAAAATCAGAGGAAGATGGTATTGAATTCTTTGGCTAAAAGAATCAGAAGAAACTCCTTCCTGAGGTAGGAGTTCATGTTAGATGTTGGGGTGGAGAGTCTAAACAGCTAAAGCTACCCCAGTCAGGCAACTGGCAAGGAGATCTACACTCTCTCCTCACTCCTCAACATTGCAGAGACATCTGGAAACTTCCCTTCTGCTAGGGATCAAAACTTATCTTAAAAAAATACATTCCCCTTCATCTAGCAAATATTCCATCATCCAGTTATTACTCCTCTGGGCCTCCAGGGTCCCAAAGGGAAAGTAGAAACAAGCATATCAGGAGCTCCCATACCGCAATCAGCATGGTTTACTGGTTGGAAGCTTCCAAAGGGTTTGTGGACACCCAATTAGGGGAAATGAGGTCACTGCTGAGATGGAACTCCAGAGAAGTCTGGGAGTGAGTGGGTATACTTCCTTTCTGGATAAAGCTGCCTGCAGAGAACCAGCTCCCCCAAGCCCAGCTTCAGCCCTTATCTCACACCCCAAACAGCTCCTCTACTACATAGCCAGACAATGACGGTCATTTCAAAGCCTGATTCCAAACCCTGACACTTGTGAGGTTTGCTTTGGGGTTAAGTCTGGATGGCTGCATTTCTTTGCAATTAGTGCATCTTTTCCTGTTTGCTGAGTTCTGTCACTCGAAGGCCAGGGATGGAGTGGGGGTGATAGGATGTGGGGTGAAGGAGGCCAGGAAGGGAAGGAGAGGGGCTTTCCTGCAGCCTCCCATCTGCTGGGCCTGACCTGGCCCTGCTCGGGGAGGTCCTTTTCCCACCAGTCAAGAGCTGCTGTGTGTTTTGTGTGCAAACAGTAGCTAGTGTACTGTTTCTGACCCTCCTTGCTAAACCTGAAATGTCATCGGCAAATGCTCAGTTTTACTATCATCCTGGGCCCAGCGCTTATTTTGGGGCTGAAATTTCCAAGATGCTAGTCATACCATAATCTAAAATCAAAGCAAATACTAATGGGCCTCATTACATAAAGGGAGAAAATTCAGTGCAGAGGGCTTGTTGGCTTGTTGGCAGAGGCCAGACCAGTTCCTCTCTGAACACGCTTGTTATGGTTAACATGGGAAGTCGGTGTTCTGACAGAAGGCCCAAACCCAGGCAGCCACACGCCTGGATGAGGACAGGAAAGAGAAGGCCTTCCCAGCATGGCTGCTGCTGAGGCGCTGGATGCTGGGTGTGGTCCCAGCACATCACAGATGTAAATGCTTGTGGGAACGCAACCCACGGGCGCTCTCAACCTTCTCCAGACTCTGCTGGCTATCACTGCCGAGGGCTTATGTCCAAGAAAGGAAAACTTTTCACTGAAAGTCCCTGGGGCTGGATAGTGCAGCAGTAAAACACGATGCTCTGTAAGGAAGACCCACATGGGAAGTTTGATGGTTCAGGTCCAGAGACCTCCATGAACTGGGCACATACTTATCTGTGACCCAGGGCTAGCTGAAGGCTGGGGTGGATGATGATGTGAAGATGCTGTCTCTGTCTCAGAATAAATAAACATATTGAAAAGACAACAACAAAAACTCGGTCCTAAGGTTTCCCTGAGCCCCGAGTTAGATTGCAGGCTCCTCCCTTTCCTCCCACAGGCTTACTGCTCACCCAGAATGAAGCTCTCCCTGGGGTGATTACGTGAGCCACATCCAGGCTGAGTGCTCCTCAAAAGCTGCCCCGTGTCTTCTGCATTTTCACACGCCCAGAGCCCAGTCTGGGGCCTGGCACATGAGGCCCCATAAATAGCTGATGGATGGATGGATTTCCCGCACTCTCCCGTCCACCCATGTCGGGCTCTCCATCCATAACTGGGATGTGCACTTCACATCAGCTGGGGTTCATGTCTGCAGATTCCCACCCAGACTCGGGGAACTGAGGGCTGCCAAGGCCACCAGCATCACGGACGTCAGCTATCTGTGTGCTCAGGCAATATGAATTATTGCCCAGCGGGGAGTAGGGCAGATCTGACCCCAGCAGGAAATCCACTGTACAGATAAGCTCAACAGTGTTTTGGAGAGGAGACAAACTGTGGAAAAACCAGCTCTTTATTTATCCAGCAGTGGAAAGGGGATGACACCGGCAGGGTACAAGGGCTGGGGCCGCCCCAGCTCATGTGGGACTCTGGGTCCACCCCAGAGGAGCCCAACCAGCACCACCCATGCCTTGGTGGTGCATCTTCCAGCTGCTCCTCTTCCCACCCACAAGTGGTGGTGCACTGACACTCTGTCAAGAATGCACAAGAGACTCAGTTCCCAGAGGGAGGCACTGAGGGGACAGGGGACTGAGCCAGGGGTTAGCAGTCTGCCGACCACATTTCTACTTCTGAATTTGGCCTTTGCTTTCCTTGGGAGCTCTGTGTGCAGACAGCACAGTGAGGTGGAGTGCAGGAAGCCCGCACGTGGCTCCACTGAGCCCACATGGGTCCTGGGTTCACATCCTGGGTCCTCCCTGTACATGCCAGAAGTTGCATGCCTGTGCTCTGGGCTGGCTGGGACTGGGGTAGAGTGCAACGAGGGGACTCTGTTTGGGGTGCCTGTCTCTATCTCTATCTCACAGAGAAAATAAATACATAGAGATTCAAAGAAAAAGAAAACCAGCTCTTGGAGGGGCAGGCAGGCCAGGGTCTGTGGTTTCTGAACTTGCTCAACGTGCTGGCACCTCCTCTGGAAAGGAGGATCAGAACAGGTGGACTGTACTGTGCTCAGCACTCCCTGTCTTCTGGACTCTGTCTAATCACTGCGCATTTCATCCTTGCAACCATCCTACGATGCTGTTATCACTCCCACTTTGTAAGTGAGAAAACGGAGGCACAGAAAAGGCAAGCTGCATGCTTGAGGTACCCTTTTTCAATTTTCAATATGAAATGGAGATGAAAAGGGTCAGAAATCTCCCCAAGTTCACATACAAGTGGTCCACTTTGGATTCGAACCCAGGGAGTGTGGGTCTAAGGTCGGCGTTCTTAATGGTTTAACAGAGAGTAATGCCCAAACCCAGGGGCTCTGGCCAGGATGGAGTGAGCGATTTCCCTTCCCTGCCTTGAACACACTGTGGTCTCCTGAGGAAGCCAGAGTTCAGGCTGAGTTCAAGGGCCTCTGCATGGAAAGATCAAGCCGTGTCCAGGCCGGCCTTTGTTAGCTTCCCGAGGTGGATGTTCACAGGCTGGATGGAGCCTGAGCCAGTGGATCTGGAGAAGCCACACTGGCAGGTGCCTTGGCTGTGGGAGTTTGGGCTTGGACAGTAGAAGCCTTCCCTGGTGAGGCTGCAGCCTGCAGGGGAGCTTGCTGAGGGGAGGTCACACATGGTGTGTCTCCCTGGTAGCAGAAACCCTCCTGGTATGATGATCTATAGGCCAGCCCCTGGGAC